ACATCGACGAGGAGGTCATGCACGAGCTGAGCTGCGCCATTGGAGCAAAAGAGGCGGGGCTGCTGAGCTGCTGCCTTGCTGCCTGTCTCAACTTCGCCGTCCCCCGGAGGCAGGGGGCGTCGCGCCTGGTCGCATCGTCGAGTCGACGGCGGCGATGGCGATGGCCCGGCCTGCGGCGGCGATCTCTGTGTGCGGCTCTCTCTCTCTCTCTCTCTCCCTCTCACTCCCTCTCTTTCTCTTTTTTGTTGTCTCTCTCTCTCTCTCTCTCTCTCTCTCTCTCTCTCCCTCTCTCTATCTCTCTATCTCACTATTTCACCTTACCTTTCACTGACTCTCTCTCTCTCTCTCTCTCTCTCTCTCCTACCACGCTCTCTCTCCCTGTCCCCCTCTCCTCTCCCTCTCGCGCTCCCTCGCCCTCTCGAGTCTCTCCTCCGCCCCTTCGTCGCGTCCCCGTTGGCCTCGTTCCGTCGCGGCATGCCGTCGAGCCGACGTCGATCGCGTCGCAGAGTCGTCGTCGTGTCGTCGTCGCTCGTCTACCGTCGCGTCGTCGCCGTTGTCGTCGACCCGTCGCCCGATCTGCCCTCGCCAGGCGGACGATTATGACGTGGGCGACGCCGAGGCGGACTCCGAGCTGATGGCGAAGGCGGAGGACGCTCGGATTGCCGCTGCCGCGGCCGCCGCAGGGAAGGGCAGGGGCAAGGGCAAGGGCGGCAAGGGCAAGAATGGCAAGGGCCCGAGCGGCAAGGGAGTAGAGAGCAGAGAGATCTTCGACTGGACGCCCCTCCTCGTTGCTGCGGGCCTTGGCCGGGATGAGCACCATGGCCGCGGCGAGGAGGAGCAGCGAGACGCCATCCTGGCAGCGGCGCTCCGGCACGAGGAGAAGGAGGAGAAGGAGGGGGAGGGTGCCCAGGGTGCCACGTGCGATCCGCCTGGGGAGGAGGCGCCGGAGGCGCCAAGTGACGAGCCTGAGCCACCGCCCCTGCCACCAGTGCTGCCACCTGGCAGGTTAGCAATGGCGAGGGGCTCTTGGCTTGCTGAATCTTCTCTTGGATACCAAATCCTGTGCGAGAGGTCTGCCAACATGCACGAGAGACTCGGCGGCGGCAAAGCCGTTCCAGAAATGTCACTTCTGTGGGTTCACGATCCTCCTGATCCGGATGATGACGACGACGTCGGCTGCGAATATTCTGCTTTTGTGCACTGGGCATCGCTGGCGCACATGGAGGGGCGCACCGTGCGGATCCACGATGGCCGAGCGATCTACCCGACGGATGCCTCCTGCACGAGGAGATCGTTCGCCGGCGCCGTGTTCATTCGCAGAACAATTGGGGTGTCTGTTGTCAAGACCAAGGAGCCGCTTCTTCGCGCTGCTATCCCTGAGAATATTTTGAGGCTCGGGAGATCTCAAATTAAATGAGAGCGGGGAGTTCGGGAGCAACCCAGTGATCCCCCCTTGTCGCCTCGGGCCTCCCCCTCCTCCTCTCCTCCCCTCCCACTGTATTAGCATATTAGCTGCGCCACCTCATCCTGCCACCTCCGACCGCCCATTTCCGTCGTCGACTCGACCCTGGCTGAGAGCGCCAGAGAGGGAGAGAGAGAGAGAGAGAGAGAGAGAGAGAGAGAGAGAGAGAAAAAAAAGAGAGAGAGAGAGAGAGAGAGAGAGAGAGAGAGAGAGAGAGAGGGATACAGAGAGAGAGAGAGAGAGAGAGAGATCGCTCAGGGAAAGGATGTCGAGAAGTAGGGGGCAAAAGAGGGCAGAGGGGGTCTGGCGGGGGCTTGCGCAGCGAAAGGCAGGTCGAGTCGACGGGGGGGCGGAGAGGAGGAGGGGCCCTGGAGGGACGGGGGGGGGGACATGGCTCCCCCTGCTGCGCGGCCCAGGTTGCAGCAGATGTGGGACCTCGCCATGACATCCTCTGCTGGGGATGAGACTGACGACGGCCTGTCACAATGTTTCGTGTGCGAGGCGGGGAGCTTCGGCGATGCTGATACCTTGATCACCTGCTCGCTCTGCCTTCTGAGCATGCACGTCCCGTGCGGGTTCCAGGTCTTGTCCGAGGTGAGGGAGACTGGGGGGATGCCTCCTGCTCCACCCCCGCCTGGAGAGTGGTTGCCTGCTGAATTCGGAGGTGGAGGCGAGAGCGAGGAGCAGCGGGGCTCCTTGTGCCCTCTGCGTGCTGCATGGGCTTGGGGCGGCTGCCCTGGTGGTTGATCGTCGCCGCCGAGAGGCCTTCACGCGGGAAAGAGGAGGTCGATGGGGCGAGGGGGCCCACCGGGATTCCAAGCTTCCAAGCAAGCGCCCTACACGACGGGCCCTCGGGGCCCTCGCGACCGCTCTCCTCGTCGGACATCTGGGCAAGTTCTCAGAGATTGATCGCGATGGGCTGGCGGGCAATTTGTCTGGATGAACTGGGCGAGGGCTCTCCTGGGCCCCTCGGGCGCGAGAGGATCTGGGCGGCGGCCACGTCGGGCCGCGGGGGTTTGGGGCATTCTACGTTATGGGGCCAGGTGGCGCTTGCGGGGGCCAGCCCATTGTATCTGCGGCAATCTCAAGGGAGAAAGTATGATGAGGGAGGCGGCGTGGAGGAGAGGAGGATGGGGAGGAGGGGGGGTGTCGGACCCGTTGTCGGAGGAGGAGAGGGGCCGGCGCTTGGACGGGGCCCAGGGACCCACCGGACCCACCCAGCCGACGGCGCTTGGACCTTGGATGGGGCCCAGGGGGCTCAGGGGGCCATCCAGCCGCCAAACCACAGGCTCTGATGGGCCATGAGGGGGATCGCTGGCTCCCTCCTTCCCCTCCGCGTCGACCGCACAGGCCGCCTGCTCGTCGGCTTGCCGGCGGCGCCGCTGCTGGTGCGCGCCGCCTGGGCGCCGGCTGGCGGGCAGCTGGAGGCTCGCGTGCTGCCGCCGCATGCGCTCTGTGCCTCCCTGACTCGCACGCTCGCTGTGTGTGCTCTCTCTCTCTCTCTCTCTCTCTCTCTCTCTCTCTCTCTCTCTCTATCTCCCCTTCCCTCTCTCTCTCCCCTTCCCTCTCTCTCGCTCTCTCTCTCTCTCTCTCTCTAGCTCTCTCTCTCGCTCTCCTCCTTCCCTTCTCTCTCTCTGTACCTCAATCCGCCAATCAATGAATAATCGACTCACCCCAGAACGTACGGCGCACGCGCTCTCTCTCTCTCTCTCTCTCTCTCTCTCTCTCTCTCTCTCTCTTTCTGGCTCTGGCTTGGTTACCTATCCTGTTGCGCTCGGATGCCAGAGGCCCTCGTCGTCGTAGCGTCGCAGCCGCCGTCGCAGCAGCTGGTGCTCCCAGGACTCTATCTTCGGGAATAGGTAGCTCAGGCCATTATTTGGAGCATCTCAGGGCCATTCGCGTCAGAAAGTCCAAAGCACGAGCAATTGCGTGTGCCCACCCACTAGGAAATATACCCAAGCACGGAAAGATATTCATATGCGATAGCGTCATGCTGGAGCTTCTTGCAAGAGTATGTCAGCAGTCTTAGTCTGAGAGCACGTATGGTATGGCAGAGGCTGCCAAGTACGGTTGAGTTGAGGGCCGATCTGAGAGGCACTTCTTATCCTGGCTGCCGATCTGGGATGCGCTTCCTATCTTGGAGGCCGATAGGGGAAGTGCTTTTGTGCTTTTCATCGTGGGAGCCGATCTGGTAGGCGCTTCCTATCCGTAAGGTCAGTCTGGGAGGCGCTTCCTATCCTGGGGGTCGCCCTGGGAGGCGCTTCCTATCCTGGGGGGTGATCTGGGATGTGCTTCCTATCCTGAAGGCCAGTCTGGAAGGTGCGTCCTATCCTGGGACCGATCTGGGAGGTGCTTCCTATCCTGGGGCCGATCTGGGAGGTGCGTCCTATCCTGGGGATCGATCTGGGAAGCGATTCCTATCCTGAATGCCACTCTGGGATACGCTTCTTATCCTGGGGGTCGATCTGGGAGGCGCTTCTTAACATGGGATTGGGGGGGGGGGAGATCTGGGAGGCGCTTCCTATCCGGATGGCCGATCTGGGAGGCGCTTCCTATCCTGGGGGTTGCTCTGGGAGGCGCTTCCTATCCTGAGGGCCGATCTGGGACGCGCTTCCTATCCTGGGAGCTGGTCTGGGAGTCGCTTCCTATCCTGATGGTCGATCTGGGAGGCGCTTCCTATCCTGAGGGTCGATATGGGAGGTGCTTCCTATCCTGGGGGTCGTTCTGGGAGGTGCTTCCTATTCGGAGGGTCGATCTGGGAGGTGCTTCCTATCCTGGGGGTCGATCTGGGAGGCGCTTCCTATGGTGGTAGCTGGTCTGGGAGGCGCTTCCTATCCTGACGGCCGATATGGGAGGCGCTTCCTACCCTGGGGGTCGTTCTGGGAGGCGCTTCCTATCCTGGGGGTCGATCTGGGAGGCGCGTCCTATCCCGATGGTCGATCTGGGAGGCGCTTCCTATCCCGGGGGTCGATCTGGGAGGCGCTTCTTATCCTGGGGGTCGATCTGGGATGCGCTTCCTATCCTGAGGGTCGATCTGGGAGGCGCTTCCTATCCTGGGGGTTGCTCTGGAAGGCGCTTCCTATCCTGATGGTCGGTCTGGGAAGCGATTCCTATCCTGTGAGCTGGTCTGGGAGGCGCTTCCTATCCCGAAGGCCGATCTGGGAGGCGCTTCTTATCCTGGGGGGTCGATATGGGAGGCGCTTCCTATCATGGGGGTCGATCTGGGAGGCGCTTCCTATCCTGAGGGTCGATCTGGGAGGCGCTTCCTATCCTGAGGGTCGATCTGGGAGGCGCTTCCTATCCCGGGGGTCGATCTGGGAGGCACTTCCTATCATGACGGTCGATCTGAGAGGCGCTTCCCATCCTGAAGGATGATCTGAGAGGCGCTTCTTAGATCGATCTTCTCTTAGGAATCGCTTCTTATATGAGTGATTGTAAATGATGAGGTGATGTTGGCGAAGATTCCGTCGAACACAGCTTTTTTGGCTAACAGCTTTGCTGCTTTTTCACCTTGTTCCGAGCACTTCCTGGCGTTCAGGATGCCTGTCATTCCTAAGAAATGCAGCGCTGGATCGAGGAGCATCGCCGCCTTCGCCAAGAAGGCCTCTGCGCCGACACCATCTCTGCCGCTGCCGCCGGTGAAGAAGCGGCTGAAGACGAGTGGGCCGCAGCAGATCGTGGTGGCGAAGGCGACTCCCAAACCAGCACCGAAGGTGCGACGTGAGCTGGTCGCGCTCACGGACGCAGCATCTTCGTCACGGGCGCGGGCGCCACGGTGTGATGCCCCCGCTGGCTCCGATGCTGCAGCCAGCCTCGCGCCATGCGGCAGCGCACCTGTCGAGCCCGTCGAGCCTGGCGAGACGAATGTCCCAATGGAGGTGGACGCCGGAACTGGAGATCTCCCTGGCTGCGTGGAGGAGCCTCCAGAACCCATCGACCCGCTGGCACCGACGAGCACGCCTTGCTCGACTGAGGCGGATGCGCAGCCCTCCCAAGAGGCTCCGACGTTTTGTCCGCCACGCAGCATCCTTCGGGCCAAGCTGGACTTGAATGTGCAGCCGATTCCCGAAGACGCGTCCTGGAGGGCACCCGACGACGATTTCGATAGCCTTGCCACCACAGAGCCAATGGATGGCAGCGAGGCAGCTTTGGCTTTGGCGGCAGGGGGCGTTCTGGAGGTCGAGCAGGCTGCCTCCAGTGAGGTGGCGGCGCCAGGCTGCCAGGATATCGAGGCATCGCCCGGCGCTGCTGCAAGCCAGGCAGGTGGCTCAGGAGAGCCCGCCATCGCCCTCGAGGCAGGCGGCGACGTTGCGGGCGGCTCGCAGGAGGGCGACGCCGATTCTGCTGGCCCCGGCGCCCTCGACATCGGCCGCATCGAGGACCCCGGCGGTGCGCTGGCTGTCGGCTCGTTTGGCAACGACGTGCAGCCGCAGCCGCCGCCGCCCGCGCCCGCACCGCCTGTCGCGCCGGCGTTGGTCTGGCCGCCGATCACGAGGACCTTGGCGGACTTGTTCAATTGGGCGAGTCACTGCGTGACCGCAGTTGCTCGACATGACGGCAAGCCCGAGGACGCAGTGTTAACCGAGTTGCGTGTGGCGGTCAGCGAGACGACGTACACGACGGCCTTCAGTGGTATCGACGCGCCTGGGGTTGCCGCGTCCACGATTGAGGGCCTTCTCGACGATCAAGGTTTCCCAGGGCCATCAATGAGGCACCTTTCGTCGACGGAGTTTCTCGAGGAAAGCAACCAGGAGCTCGGGATTCACCCTCACTGTCCTGAACATCAGTTTGAAGACATCGAGTCCTTCTGGGAGCCGTCGGTCAAGGAGAAGCTCGACTCGCTGGGGCGCGCCCACGTGGCGATCAGTCTCGACATGCTCCGTGAGATCATCCTGTCTGGCCGCGCGGTCAGGGACCACGCGCCTTGCAGGTGCCGCCATTGCGCGGGACGCCGCAGGCGCCACCCTCGTGGCAAGGTCCACTGGGCGGGGACCCCGTGCGTGGACTGGTCGCCGATTGGGCAGCAAGGCAAAGACTCGGGGCGGACAGTTCGAGCCCTGGCGATCTGGATCGCTCTGAGGATCCTCTTGCAGGAGCCCATCGTGATCCACGAGAATTCCGACCGCTTCGACGTGTCCATCCTGACCGACTTGCTCGGCGCCCACTACCACGTGCACTCGCAGGTCGTGGGGCCCACCGAGCTTGGTTGGCCAGTTCGTCGCCGCCGTCGCTGGACGATCCTGCTGCATCGCCGCCACGTGGCAACAGTCTGGCCCTCAGCAGCTGGCGGAAGGCTAACGCAGAGGCGCAGAGGTAGAATCGAGCACGAGGGCCTGAGAGGAGAGGAGGGAAGAAGGGATGCATGCATGATGTGCGTGATGTATGTACCGAACGAACGAGGGTGACCTCGCCCCGCTCAGGGTCCAGGGTTCAAGGCCCCGCCCCGCTCTCTGGCTCTCTGGCTTCGAGGCCCCGCCCCTGCTTGACCCCGCCTCGAGCTCCCTTTTCTCTTCCTTATCCTCCTCCTCCTCCCTCCACCTCTCGTCCGCCTCTCCTCCTGCTCCCTCTCCCTCCTCTCCTTCCTCTCCTCCTCTCCTCCTCCTCGACTCCTCTCCCTCCTCCCCTCCGTCCGTGCCGCGGGCGGGTGGGGGGGGCAGCCGAGGTCCGACTTTCTCCGCCTTCGGCGATGCCGATGTTCCACAGGACTATGAGGTGCACGCTGAACGTGTTCCTGGCTGCGGAAACGAACGAGCTGCTTGAGGACTCGTGGGAGGAGGCAAGTGGAGGAGTAGTGGAGGGGAGAGGGGAGGCTGAGGAGAGGAAGTAAGCTGGAGAGCAGGAAGCTGGCGGGAATGGAGGAGGCGGAGGATAGAGGAGGGACCCTGAGGAGGGACGAGGTGGAGCAGGAGAGGCAGGGGGAGGCGGAGGAGCAGACGTGGAGGGGCCAGTGGAGGGGACACTTCCCACCAGTCAGGAAGTTGCATGGGCGCGACAGAGGCGCCTGAGCTCCGCCCGTGGACAGCCGCCGGTAGATCAGGCTGGTATGCTAGCGAACCCACAGTGCTTTCACGATAGTCTCACGCCTTGGGAGCAAGAGAATCTTCGGCAGTACATTGCCCGCTGCGAACCGAACTGCGCATTCAACCTGCAGCAGGAAATCAGCGCTGGCAGGGGGCATTACAGCACCCCGACTACCCTGCACACGATCATCAGCAATCCGGGTATTCACTGGTATAGCGTGGCCAACAGGTGGTTCACCCCTCAAGAGCTCCTTCTGACTCAGGGGTTTCCTGTATTTGAGCGCTTGGTGAATCCTGGCACTTCTACTAGACAGCGCGCTGTCACCTCGTTCAACAGGGTCCGTTTTGACAGGCGCCGCAACCCCATGCTACAGCAGGTAGGCAACACGATGCACGTGCATGTTTGCGGGGCGCACTGGTTTTATATTCTCTCTTTCGTGCTCCGCGTGGATCAGACTGACATCGCCCGCCAGTTCGGGCCTGGCCTGTAGGGCGCACCACGGATCCGCGGAGGGCGCCTGTGTGTGTTGTCAAGGCCGCCAAGGCCCTTGGATAGCCTCCGGGCATAGCGCGCGCGCGGGTATCCGCGCAGTCGCAGCGCCCTGCAAGTTTGCTTCTTTTGCCACGATCAGATTGCGGTGGGGTAGGTGATTTGTCGATATGCATTTGGGTGGCAGATTCTAGGACAATTCCCCTTTCCCTCTACTTCTAGTTCAAAGCCTCAAAGCGGGGGTTACACGTGCACGTTGCATGACCGGCGCGGCCGGTGTGGCCTCGTCGTTGCGCCAGCTCATGCGCGAGAAGTCGCGCAAGCAGCATTGGGGATCGCAGCGCCGAAGCACCATTCGCACGAGTAGATAGATTGACTCAGATTGACTGATCCTGATTGGGAGTCAGAAGCAAGAGCTCCGTTCGTCCGAGTCCTCGGCCCTCTGCTCCTCGAGTCCGAGTCCTACTCCTCCCTCCTCCCCACGACCCGTCTCACAATCTCACAATCTCCTTTCCGATTTCCAATTCCCTCCTCGAGCCTCCCGTTCGAACGATCTGGCTTGCTCTCGCTGGCGATAACGAACGAACGACTGCGATCTCCCGAATGACGACGTGACGCGAAGTGGCGTGACACCGTGACGCTGTGCAGCGACGATGATACGATGATGACTGTTTGACCCTGTCTGCCCTGTCTGCCTCCTGCTTCGCCCCCCCCCCCCCCCCCAGCCCAGCCCAGCTGCGAGGCGCGCTGGCGGCCGCGGTCGGTGGTCGCCTCCTGCGGCGCGATCATCATCACCAGCAAGGTGATGTGCATCCTAGGCACCGCTGCTGCAGCCCGACCCCGGACCCGAGGGTGAGAGAGCGAGGGGGAGAGAGAGAGAGAGAGAGAGAGAGAGAGAGAGAGAGAGAGAGAGAGAGAGAGAGAGAGAGAGAGAGAGAGATCAGAGACAGAAAGAGAGAGATAGAGAGAAAGAGAAAACGAGAAAGAGAGAGAGAAAGAGAGAGAGAGAGAGACAGACATAAAGCAAGCAACAGAGAGAGAGAGAGAGATGAGAGACAGAGAGAGAAGGTTGGCAGAGTGGGCAGGACAGCGTTCCTAGAATTATGTTTGACAGTGTCCGCGGTGGCTTCGCGTCGTTCTGATGTTCTGAAACCTCTGGACAAGCTCAGGTGGTGGTGCTCCTTCTCTGAGACTCTGAGATCTCCGAGCTCAAGCTCCCGTCGGCAAGTTAAGTATTAAAGTATCGGCCCCCGAAGTTCCTGAAACCCTCGGCGCTTTCTCAGCAAGGCCGAGAACGCCGTTATACTGCCAATTCTGTCGCGCTCGGGGGGGCGCTCGAGTGCTCGAGGATTTGAGGAATAGGGGTCGAGTCCCGGGGCCGAGGAGGATAGAGGGAGGGGGGAGGGAGGAGAGGAGCAGCAGGAGGATAGAGCAGGAGGGGCTGAGAATTGGGAGGAGGAGAGAGGAGGGATGGAAAGAGAGCAGGGAGAAGGGAGCGAGGTTTTGAAATGGCGGGACACAGGGACACATGTGCAATGAGAGTAGCGTTCGCAGTGGGCCCGCCCGGCCGCACCCCCCCCCGCCCCCGTCCCCGTCCCCCCCAATGGCCCAATGTGACCCAAGCAGCTTGCAGCGTTTCGGCTCACAGCCTACAGCTCCCGGCAACTTCGGCCCGACAGTCCCTCTGACAGTCTGAGGTCTGCGCTCGGATCAGATGGCGGACGAGTCTGCCACGGCCGCTGCTCATCGCACGTTGTGGGAGGACGCGGACAGCGTCGCCAGCAGGTTCCCTGGGCTTCGGGGCGTCATCCTTCAAGACAAAATCATGGAGATCCACTCGGTTCAGAAGCACACGACGGTGCCGTGGTATACCGCCAGCAATGATCAGGCAATGGTACCGCACCCTCTGAACAACAGGCATCTGGAGACAGTGATTGAGGACTATTCGCGCAGCGTGAAGTCTTACGGGAACGTGCCTGGGGTTCGAGGGGAGCCTTGGGCGATGCGTTCCCCTGGGTCCACGGGCTTCCCCTACCTCATGCTGTCATATGGGACGCTGACCCGCGCTTGCTACCGCGCTTTTGACCGCGCCAGGGAGAACGACCCCCAGCTGCAGGAGCCAGAGAACGAGTTGGTGGCGCGGACGCTGCAAACTGGGCTCCAGCGCGTCACGGTCTTCCACGAGAGGACGCCGAAGGACGTGGTCTCGTGGCTGAGGGATTGGCACAACGATTGGCATGGCGGCACGCGGTTTACCCTGGAGCAGTTCTGGGAGTTGGCGCTCAGGCTCGAGTCGGAGTTCCATGCGTCGAAGAGTGTGGAGGGGGAGAAGACTACTCAATGGGCTTGGATCAAGGAGAAGTACCCTGACGTCAAGCAGAGAAAGATCGAACACGAGAACGAATACCTGGCAGCCAAGGCGCTGGCGGTTGGAGGGACCAGGGAGGAGGAGGAGGAGGAGGAGGAGGAGGAGGAGGAGGAGGAGGAGGAGGAGGAAGAGGCAAAGGGAAGGCGGGAGGAGAGGAGGAGGGAGGAGAGGAGGGAGGAGGAGAAGGGAGGAGGAGAGGAGAGGCAGGAATGATAGGAGGAGTCAAGGACAGGAGGAAGGATGGAGGAAAGACGGACGGGAGAGGGGGGGGCCTGAGGATGAGAGGAGGCAGAGGAGGAGTCTGAGGAGGAGAGGTTTTTTCCCCCACATCCTAAGTGGGGTTCTTGTTTTCTCTGGACGGCCCCCGGCCACACACACACACACCCACGCACGCCCAGTCACGCACGCACTCAGTCACGCACACACCTCAGTCACACACACACATCATGATCATCATCTTCCTCGGGCATTCCATGCGAGCCCGCTCGCGCGGAAGGGGCCTCCCCTTGTGACCCCTAGGGGGTCACACCTAAAAATTGGAATTCCAACGGCCCAACGGCTATCGGCATCAGCGAGCCCGCTCGCACGGAATGACCCTCAGGGGCATTCCATGCGAGCCCGCTCGCGCGGAAGGGATTTCCCCTGTGGCCTCTAGGGGGTTCCACCGAAAAGTTGGAATTCCAACGGCTATCGGCTATCGGCAGCCAGCAGCGAGCCCGCTCGCGCGGAATGACACTCAGACCTAAGAGTTGGAATTCCAACGGCTATCGGCAGCAACGAGCCCGCTCGCACCGGAATGACCCTCAGGGGCATTCCATGCGAGCCCGCTCGCGCGGAAGGGACCTCCCTTGTGGCCCCTAGTCCCACCTAAAAGTTCGCACGGAATGACCCTCAAGGGGCATTCCATGCGAGCCCGCTCGCGCGGAAGGGACCTCCCCTGTGGGTCCCACCTAAGAGTTGAAATTCCAACGGCTATCGGCAGCAGCGAGCCCGCTCGCACCGGAATGACCCTCAGGGGCATTCCATCATGCGAGCCCGCTCGCGCGGAAGGGACCTCCCCTGTGGCCCTAGGGGGTCCCACCTAACAGTTGGAATTCCAGCGGCTATCGGCAGCAGCGAGCCCGCTCGCACGGAATGACCCTCAGGGGCATTCCATGCGAGCCCGCTCGCGCGGAGGATGAGGACGAGGAGGAGGTTTAGGAGAGGAGGAGGAGGGAGGAGGAGGAGGAGGAGGAGGAGGAGGAGGAGGAGGAGGAGGAGGAGGGGGGGAGGAGGAGGAGGAGGAGGAGGAGAAAGAGGAGGAGGAGGCGGGGATTTCAACCACGGCGCCGGGCCGACGGTGCCGTCAGGAGTCAGGGTGACGCGGTTGAAGTGGACGCTGCTCAAGGAGGAGGCGGAGGACAAGGAGGGGGGGGGGGAG